TTACCATAAAAACTATCAGGTCTGTGCAGTGTCGTATGACATCTATGTACCAAGTTTCATTGAAATGTGATGATTAGTACTTGAGATATCAGTGGAAAAACCGAAAATTGACTAATCATTATGCAAATTAGGTAATTAGTATCCACGGATTATTACCAAAAACTAATCAAAACCTAGCATTAGTTCAGAGCATCTATGTACCAAGTTTCATCAAAATCCAATGAGTGGTTGTTTAGATATCAGTGGAACAGTCATGGAACCACTAAAAAATAGCTAATTATCATGCAAATTAGGTAATTAATATGCACGGATTTTTACCAAAAATTAATCAAATCTGCGCATATGTTCAGAGCATCTATGTACCAAGTTTCATCAAAATCCAATGAGTGGTTCTTTAGATATCAGTGGAACAGTCATAGAACAGCTAAAAATTAGCTAATTATCATGCAAATTAGGTAATTAACGAGCATGGATTTTTACCAAAACCTAATCAAATCTGCGCATTGGCCCAGAGCATCTATGCACCAAGTTTCATCAAAAACCGATGTATGGTTCTTGAGATAGCAGTGGAACAGTCGGACACACATACACATACACACACACACACACACATACACACATACACACATACACACATACACACATACAGACACACTAACTGCAAAGACTCCCATTTTGTGCTTCGCACATGGGAGTCAATTACAGAACAATTTTTAATGATGTTTACAGTAAAGTCATCCCAATTTGGCCAAAATACAGAATCAGAAATTCAATTTCATTCAATTCTTATTGATATTTCTATGTTTTTGTCACATATTTTTTTCATGTTTGGTCAAAAAGTTAGGCAATTAAAACAATATGCAGATTGGGGTTTATCATATTTTTTTTAGCGTTTAAAGTATTGAATTAATTTAGGTAAATAGTTAAATTTTATTTCTGGTCTCATTATACTATCACCCATCTTTCCTGGGTCCACTGTGGTACACAGTGTCATTATAGCAAGTAACCCCTCTCTTCGAGAGACATCTGACTGTTATTGCACAAATAACCAAGATTAAAAATATTGTCCACGTCAAATAAAAGTTGCCATAAAACATACACAATTGATGGAAAGGTTATGCCGCCGACTAATTGTAGATATATGCATGCAACGCTGAACACAGCCTCACAGGTCCGTGACGATATCATGTTGACCAGACCACAGCTGACGCCTAGTACAAGGACGGGGTCAAGAAACGATCATTAAACCAAGACAGTAAACATTACTATGACTACGTTTTTGTAGCTAGCCCGGTTTCTCTTCTTCAGAAAATACACTCACCTCCAATCTATATCGCCATTCAATAAATACGGCCGATGGTGAAAAAGATGATCTTCATTCCAGCTCCAGATATTTTGATCTGCCTGCGCTGCCTTTTGTCGTTCACTTAATTCACAGTCCACGTGACCGAGCTGCCTTGCCGTGATTGGCTGTGATCTTGCTACTCGGCAATATTTATAAGGTCATGACATTTCCATCGTGTTTGTTTTCAGGAAACAGATTTAAAGCGTATCCATGCTAATGCGAATATTACGATGCATGTCATTTTTATTGCCAAGTTGAATTTTATATTGCCGTCACAATATTTTTTTTATTTTGAGAGTCAAAATAGTTTTTTTTAAATAAAGAGCACAGGAGATCAAGTTTGTTATTTTTCCTATTCATTAATTATTATCTATTTATTTATGTCTATTTGACATCGTTCCACAGTATAAAACATTTCTATATATTGAATTTGGGGTACGTACATATATAGTTTTAACCGAAATATTTAAATGAACACCAGAGGGCGCTATAGCTTCGCCTAGCTTGTAAACATTTGTAAAAACAGATTTGCTTGTTTGGCTCGTAATTTATATTCACATGTGTGCTTATCAGGTGTATATGAATTTTAGATTTAAAGTTAATTGATCTGGTGAATGGTTGCCTCAAATATACATAAATAAAGCGGGCCCGGAAAAAAAATTAAAGGGC